TTTTCTCCCTTCAAAAGTAGTGGAAAGACACTGCATGCCAGCCAATGAAGCCTGCTTTCTGGTATGTTTACTGACAGAAAGGAACACCCTCCTTTCTTCAGAATTCCAAAAATACAGCTCCTATCTACTTCCTTGTGTCAGCAACATGAAGGGGTGGCTAGTACATTGAGGCAGTCCCACAAAGCCAGTGTCCCAACCCTGGTATAGCTGCCACTTACAAATAAGGTATAGGGGCAAGGCAGGGTAGCCTAAGTGCAGGTAAAAGAATTCACAAGAGCAGAAAATATAGGGCAAACTGTGGTGCAAAAGAGCCCAATTTCTATCTTACAAATCTAGAAGTTGTCGCCCTACAGCTATTAACAGCACAATCCTAGGCATGTTGATTCAGAAGTTAATCCCATTAAGGTCATAATGGGATTTATTATCCAGTAATTGGGTCTAGTATTGCAGCCAAAGTGAATGTTTGAAATTAAATATTACAACTGGGCAGTACACCTCAATTTGAGATCAAGGAATGACCTCTAAAACACCAAGATCCAATCCAGTGCAGGCAAACTACAAAACGTTTAAAAATTCCTAACTCAACTAGTAAACATAAATCAACCAGGAGATAATAATGGAAGATTGATAAATCTAATAACTGAGATTCAGAAATAGACACAAGCTTGTCTTCAACAGCAGCTGATTCCAGTTATATAACAGAAAATGAAGTTGCAAGAAAAACTGAGAATTTCTTACTAAATTGAAAAGGGCACCCCCTATCTAGTATTCCACAGAGTACAAAATAATGATCTCTTTAAATCCACACCATAAAAGTAATGTACACAGGATTTAAAAGCTGGAGATGGGCAAGGGCAGGGGTCAGCAACCTTTTTCAGCCATGGGCCAGTCCACCATCCCTCAGACGATGTGGTGGGCTGGACAATATTTTTTTTTGGGGGGGGGGATGAATGAATTCCTATCCCCCACAAATAACCCAGAGATGCATTTTAAATAAAAGGACACATTCTACTCATTTAAAAACACGCCGATTCTTGGACCATCCGGATTGAGAAGGTGATTGGGCCGCATCCGGCCCACGGGCCTGGGCAAGGGTCTCGTCTGGTACTGAAATGACATCAAGGCAGATTCCAAGCAAGCCTCCATGAAAAGAGCTTTCCAAACTCAGGTTACCACCAATGAGTAGCTCAACCTCCATGAGGCCATCTACCACACATAAAATGCAGGGGACATCCAAAAAAATAGACTCTGCTGAGAATGTTAGTATATGGGCAAGAAAACGTGGAGGCAATAAGTCCTTCAAGTATCCCAGCCACAAAGCCCTAAAGGGCTTTAGTGGTCAAAACCAGAACTTTGAATTGCACCTGTAAAATAACTAAAATCTATTAGATTCTGATAGCTTTTTAAAAAATATATTCTATGCTTGTTTTTATAAAGTGCTTCCATGTGACTATAGAAAACACTTGGAACGCTCATCACACACCATTTCTGACAGAGGCGGGAAGGAGAAGCGGGCGGGCAGAAGAAAATACACTAGGTATGGCAGCAAAGAATTCACACCAAACAGAAGGGGACATGGTGAGCTCTAATCCCAGTTTCAATGTCACAGAATGTGAGGTGTGGGCTTGCCAAGTATTAAAGCCAGTAATGGAGAGCAGCTAGCAGCAGAGCCCATGGCATGAAGTCCTTGTGCTCAACCTGTTGCTGAGACTAGCAGAGTCACAGTGAGGAGAACAATGATCAGCACAATATTTGGGGGTGGGAATATTTTCCAGATGATGTTCCCATATGATTCTGACCTTCTGAGGGATCTCAACCATAAAGTAATTCAGCACAACTGCTAAGTCCACAGAACAGAGTATGTTCCATGCCAATAGCTGAGCAGAAGGCAATACATAGCCCAGGGATCGCTTCCCTGAAATAGAATGGAATGATTTCCAGTTTACTCAAGATTGCACAGGATTTACGCCTACCTCTGTGGGATCACACAAAAATCCAAGCCAAGAAGAGGGATGTCACCATTATATCAGTCACTTCCCCCAATTGGGTACAACACTTTATTTTCAGCCCACATGTAAGGCTGAAAGTCATTTCTAGAGCTTTCCAATATTAAGGAAGTGTTTGCTTGGCAAAACATAACAGTTGGCTATGTGCAACAAAACACAGATCTTGTTCACATGTCATATCCTTTCAAACCTGATGTGACCAGCAGCAAAATCAGACACTTTTCCCCAAGAGCAGGCATAGCTCCATTTTTCTCAATTATGTTTTAAATACATTTGGAGATCACAATGCTTTTAGTCTAAGAATTATCAAGGTGCTACCAAATATGGTGTACCAAGAGAACATCACATGTAAGGCCTTAAAAGGATTTGACTATATGGCAAGCTGTACTACTCTTAAGATTAAGATATCTTACCTATATTAAGGATTCATTGAATTCTACAGTTACTGGCAAGCAGAACATTTAGTGCCACACTAGAAATCAGCAGCTCTTCATTTTTAAAACTTTTATGTAAGTATGTAAATATATGCTTCTTGGGCAATGAAACTCAAAGGTGAATAAGTAGTCATATCTCCACCAATCAGGGAAACATTGGCAACTGGGAAACACTGGCCTGTGAGCGCTCCAGTTGGAGAACAGCCTTTACCAAAGGTGTCATAGACTTTGAAGGCACTCGAACTCAGAACACAAGGGAGAAGCGTGCTAAGAGGAAGGCATGCTTGGCAAATCCACACCGTGATCAACTCCCGCCCGGAAACCAATGTCCCCACTGTGGAAGGACATGAGAGTCCAGAACTGGCCTCCACAGTCACTTATGGACTCATTGTTAAAACCGTGTTTATGGAAGACAATCTTACTCGGCTACGAGTGATCGCCAAAGAAGAAGAAAAAGAATCAGGGATGCATTCCCTGCATGATTCCTTCACCATTCCCGTGCCCGAAATTATGCCAAAATAAGTACAAATGTGCTTATTATGCATAACTTATGCTTTTTCACATTACTGAAACTTTGTTTATGCTCTTCAGTACTTATCAAGATGGATTAAAAAGATCACACCAGTCTTCTTTGGGCACTCAATGAAACTTTTACCTATCATTTCAGGGTAAATAGCAAGAGAATATCAAGGCAACATGTTCTAGTCACTCACAGTATCAAACACTTAAATATGATTACATAGAAATTCAGTTTGCATGACAAGTGAATCATGCATGTGTTATTTAGATATTTCTAAATGTCTTAAATGTTTTATCTACTGCACTGTGAAGATGCTTTTGTCATTTTAAGAGTATCCTCCCAGGATACTTTTGGTACTTGCAGTACATTAGGGATTCTAATAATAGAATTCTATGTTGCTTATCTCAGACCCTGGCACCTTGTGGTCTCTGTAAAGGTTGCCAAGAGAAAAGGTTTTGAAAGTCAAAAGTATCACAGCAACTCTTATATTGAAAGCAGTAGCCAAATCATACTCTTGAGGTTACTGACAATGCTTCATAAATGAACAAAGAACAATAATTTCAGTAGATTTCAAGGCTTTAGAAGCACATCAACACTCTAAGCTGAAACCACGGCCAGGCCAAATATAACTTTTCTAGGAGCTTCTTAGTTTGTAATGGTATCTTCCAATCTAGTGCCTTGGTTTAGAACTCTGGAGAGTCGTGTAAGTGAAAGGGCAGAATGTAAGGAAGGGAAGTCCCTCTTATAAATAGCTGTGACAGATAATGTCTTTACTGAAGCATATTCTATCAAGTTATGAACTCTCCTGTGGGTCAAGACCGAAAAAGGTAGCTTAGTATTAAACAAATTCCTCAGGCAATTCACAATTTAAACTGTAAACATGAAACTTTAGTCCACACTTACCAAACTAGTTTGACCTTGCCCTGATCTTTTTTTTGGGGGGGGGGGGAGACTTCCAGCTGAGTCTGGTTTGCCCATATATTCAATCCTCTCTCTTTTTGGAGGAAAGAGGAGACAAGGTAGGTTAAGACTAACTGAATTTATTTGTATGGTCTTATCTTCCCCCAGAGGATTTCTGGTAAGAGAATGTAAGTGTGTTCACAGTAAATGGCAGAACATTGCATTTGTGCTGCCACTGGAGAAAGAAAACACAATTTGGGTGGATATTGCTATCCAGATAGCAAAACCCCTGCCAGAACGAATAAATGAGAAGAGCATGGTGCTGACAGAAAGCAGTAAGTTACAAGAGATACGGCTGAGAGAAGTGTGATTCAACTGACACAGCCACAGAAAGGTTAGCTATGTTCACTGGCACAAGGACTTTAAAGGCTGCACTCAAGGAGAATAGAGGAGAAACTAGCTGATTTCAAGTTCCACTGATGCCCAGCATCTGCTGCAATGCCATCACCATGCGCCTTGCCATCCACAAGCAAAACAAGGCACTACTTGTTCTCCATCCTACAGTGCCCAGCGAGGGCCGGGGATGTGTCTGTAAAGTGAAGCCAGCTCTCACCTAAGACTACTTCCAGTAAAGAAAGTGCAGCCCTTCCAGAAAATTGGAGAGGGGAAAGGGAGAGTCAGGCAGATCCTGCAGGGTATGAGTCATGCCATGGATCCTTGGCACAAGGCTATGTGCACCGCTGACTATTCCCACAAGGAATAATAGCGTTACTCCACCTGCGAAAGGGTCAATCCTAGGTGAAGAGGCAGGGAAATAAAAACTGGAGTGGTGGTGGTGGTGGAAGAGGAAAAAGGGGAAAGAATGATGAAGAAAACTTTGATCCCAGTTCTCTAGAAGGCAGCGGGCAGGCTCTGCTGACCTGCCCTTCAAGCCTTCTTCTCTCCCCCATTCATCCTATCTATAGGCCATTACCCTAAAAGCAATGGGAAATGAGGCAATGCTATCATGCGTAAGGTGCGGGGGGACAGGAGGTGGGTGGAAGGGTCGGCCTTCCCCTCCCTCTCGCCCCCCCCCGCCCCCCCAATCCCTGCCGGAGGGGCTGACAGGTCGAGGGAGGGAGGTTCGCCTCCCCGGGATACCTGGTGCAGCGCCGTCAGCCCGTCCACGTTGGCCGTGTTGAGGCGGGCTCCGCGGGCCAGCAAGCGCTTCACCTCCTCGGTGTCGCCGCTGGAGCAGGCAGCCAGGAAGACGGCGCCGTCCTCGAAGCGGACGCGGGGCCCGCCGCGGCGCCGGCTCCGGACGGGAGCCGCCGGCTCCAGCTCGGTCAAGGAGCCCTTCCAGCGCTTCAGCTGCTCCGCCCGCCGCAGACGCGCCGACTCGGCCCGCTTCACCCCCAAGTGCCCCGGCTCAGACATGGCGGAAGCGCCGCCGCCGCCGCTCGCTGCTGGGCCACCGACACCGCCTCGCCGCTCTCGGCGCACCAGGGACCCTCACAGAACGCCTCAGCCCGGGGAAGAGCGAACGGGCTCTGCCGCCATCTTTACAACTTCCCCCTGCCCGTCCCTCCCCCCTCGCCCGCAGCGCCGGAGTAGAGTGCGGCGCGGGCGCAGACGGCGCCTCCGAGCATCATGGGAAAGGTAGTTCTGAGAGGGGGCTGCCCCGGTGGGGATCCTTGGGGGGACTGCACCTCCCAGGAGCCTCTGCGTCGCCAGGTCTGCCAGGTTACGTTGTTTTTTTTTTTGTCCGGGAGAGTAAGAAAAGAGGGAGATAGAAAATGAGAGAAGGAATGAAAGGTGGGTGGGTGGTTATTGTGGCATTATCCCCGAGATATTGAGTGCCTTGAACAAAGGGGAAATGCTGAATTATTATTCTTACTACCTGTAGCAGAATACTGCTGCCACATATTTAGGCAGCATTTCCTCTGCTCGTTGCATTTATACACCAGGATAAAGAATGGCTACCTAAGGAGGTGAGGAATGGAATTAGACTGGGGGGATGGAAGATTTGCGTTAAAAGCTCGCTTCTTCCGTGGCATAGCGCTGAGTAAGTCACTTTTTCTTAGCTTCAGCAAAACGAAGAAAGAGTAAATTGCTTTTGCAAACACAGAATGCAAAGCAGATAAAACTGATTATCTTGTATAAATCATAAACAGGAATAATAGAAATGATTCAGTGGAGTAAAGAGATCTTCCTTCTGTGGGGTTAAGAGTAGTATGATGCATGGGCGTAGCCAGGATTTTTGTTAGGGCGGACAGGACTTTTTTTGGGGGGGGAGAACCGACGTGATTGGCCAGTTAGTTAAGCATTTATATTGTTTTACTTGCTCTAGAGGGGGCAACTGCCCCCCTTTGCTAAGCCCATGAGATAATGCATGTTTCTGCAACATGGTCTTGGAGGGTATTTGTAAAGCAGCTTCGGTGTTTCTTTGATACTTATTTTGCCTCATTAGCTCCATCTTGTGGGTGGTTTAGCTCTTAGCATTCCTGGCATTTGTTTGAGAATTTAATAATTGGCCAAATGAGTGTCACACATTATAGCTATCATTGGGCTTTATTTTAATGACCTGTCACCATTCGTTTGGTGGGGGAGTTCTAGAATCACTATAAATAGCGCATTCACAACATGGCAGCCATTTTAAAAGGTGGATAATATATCTATGTGCTTATGTACGTTTCCGAGCACAATTCAAAGTGCTGGTTGTTGACCTTTAAAGCCCTAAACGGCCTCGGCCCTGTATACCTGAAGGAGCGTCTCCACCCCCATCGTTCTGCCCGGACGCTGAGGTCCAGCGCCGAGGGCCTTCTGGCAGTTCCCTCATTGCGAGAAGCAAAGCTACGGGGAACCAGGCAGAGGGCCTTCTCGGTAGTGGCACCCGCCCTGTGGAACGCCCTCCCATCAGATGTCAAAGAGATAAACAACTACCTGACATTCAGAAGACATCTTAAGGCAGCCCTGTTCAGGGAAGTTTTTAATGTGTGGTATTTTAGTGTTTTTTGGTTTCTATGGAAGCCGCCCAGAGTGGCTGGGGTACAAATAATAAATTATTATTATTATTATTATTATTATTATTATTATTATTATTATTATTATTATGGCAGAGCAGCCTCTGATACTAACTGTGCAAGGAGTGTGATCCCAACACACACTCACATCCTAATTTTGATGACAGGAAGGAGGGACATCTCAAATGGATGGGAGGGGGATCCACCATGGTGGAAGTTCCAGCTGTGCCCTATCACCTGGGATAGCAAGCATAAAGCCCTCTAATGGGGCATTTGGGGGTGGAACAGGGATCCAAAGTCCTGCATATTCCCAAGGGGCCCAGTCTTTGAAGCCCTCAGCTACACCAGCCAGGAGCTGACAGAGTGGAACTGGGGGCTTAAATAGGAGGGTGTTGTATTATCACCTAGAATGAGATTCCACGTCTGCAGATGGGAGCAGACCCACTCCCTCATGGAGAACATGCACATGCACTCTCGACTTTCCCATAAAGCAAGGAAGTCTTGTAACTGAGGATGTCATGCCTTGGTCTGCTGTCTAACCTGCACCATTTCTTGCCTTCATAAAGATAATTTTCTTACTTATACATGACCCCCATTTGTGTGTGTTGGGCATGGGGCAGGACAATTGCTCTGTCTACTAATTACTGTAGTAATTAATGTGTGGAGTTTTTACACACATGTTCTGTGAATGAAGGGAAGGTAGTCAGTCTGGGATTAAGAATTCCCACAGGTCCTGGGGACAGAAGGAACTATAGGTCTGAGCTGAAGGCTGTGAAGGTGATATTCTAAAGGAAGAAGGTGATATTCTAATGGAAGAGGAACAAAATAGCATTGGAGTGTAATATTCCAAGCCCCAACTGCAATGAGCCACCTGCAAGCTCCCAACTGAGATCACAGAAAGGATAGCTAGAGGCCACACAATTCTGCCATGGGGAAAGGCTGCAAACTCCTTAGCTAAAGCGTAAAAATTCATGCACTCATCAGGCCCCTGGCAGGATAAGAGGGCTCACTTCCCTGTTGTCCATTGCTGGAGCAAAATTTGGTGCTGTCCCTGGTGCTGCTGATCCCACCTCCCATTTGCCCATCTGCTATAGCCTCCCGTCAAGCTACCTGATTCCAGCTCTTTGTTGCCTGCTACTTGGTACATGCAACCAACTGCACATTGTTCAAAGTGGGTCCTTGAGGATCTTTTTCTGACACTATATTGGTCAACCCCATAACACAACACGAAAAACAGGATTGCTTTCAAACTAGCAACTTTCAAAGTTATATAGTGGAAGATGAATACCATATCAGCAACTGACCTGGCCCTCTTTGTCACAATTTAGTATAGAAATATGCTCCACAAATATACATCTGTCCCTGACTTTAAAGAAACTGAGTTTATTTCAGAACAGCTCCAAATATGTTTTGTTATTTCAATCTTTGATCAACCAGCTTCATCTTTGTCTCTTTTCCAACATTGTTCCATATAGCTAACTGCAGACATTGCATGTAAATAGTTTCATGACCTTTGCCTGAGTCTTGGCTGATTTGATTTTTGGTACGATTGGATTTATTATCTTTACCTTTCATTTCTGTCCATGATTACACAAAGAAGCGTAATTGATTAAAAACAATAAAACATTGAAACATAAAGAACATGAACAAAACACACACCTTATTCAGCTGGAAAAATAAATGAACTATTCTCCTCTAAACTTATTTTCGTGATGTGCTATTTGGTAATTATCAGATAGAATTAAAAAATACCTTGCTGGCACTCAATTATCGTTTAAGTCCCTGTGTAACAGTACCATTTAAACACCAGGGGGCAGCTGCACCCTTGAGACTTCATCAATTTGAGAAGAAGAAATCCCACAGCTATATTACAATGCAACATTCTTCTTCAGTGACTCTTTCAGGAGGAAAATGTTAAATGTTACCTTCTCCAACTAAATAACACTTGAGATTTGAAATACACATTGTTTCTTTGTTGAATATGTTTATTTTGTATCCCTCCTTTCTTTTTCTTCTCTCCAACAAAGTACAAAGAGAAACAGTTGATATAACATAAATTATATAACAATAATATCATATCATACACCTCCCACTGTGCAAGTGGAAGTTGTTTCACTTGCACAATTATTTAGTTTGATACCTACCTGCATATTTACTCAGAAGTAAGTCCCACATTGCATTCAATGGGGCTTATTTCCAAATAAATGTATACACAAGACTGAAGCATCAGAAGTCAACATTTTGATAAAACATTTAGCCTGTGTACCACATACACACTAAATCAGATCTAGATTTTTCCAGTGCTAGTTTTTTTTCATTACTTCTGGATATGCTGCTGTAGTTAATATAATAAACTTGCATAAAAAGAAGGAACACAATCAGTGTTCCATCCCATGTTTTTGCCCTAGGCTGCTGATATATACAGAAATGCAGTGTGGAAATTAGTCTTCCTTTCTTTGCCTTTATTGTATATATTTCCTGTTGCTATTTATGGTTACACAAAGAAGCTCTGAGCATTCCACAGCCTTATAGAACCTCTGAGACTGGCACTCAATGGAAGCCTTTGTCAGAGGTGGCAAGAAACTGGTGGCATTTAGTCATATGATAGTTGCTGCTATTTCCTTAAAAACTGCAATATTTTTTCACTTATTACATTTACCATCTTGCATTACAAATTACCATTAAGTAGCCTCACTCATATTAATATGCCATTAACATTACCATCTATAATCAATGAATGGAGTGAGCAAATAAGCCACAGAAGCAAATGTGTGAATGACTGACAGATTCTCTGTTGGCACTTCTTAGGCAATGTTCACTGTTCACGGTGGGGCTAGATACATTGCGTAACTCATGCATCTCTCTGTGGTAGAAGTACACAAGGTTCCTTGATGGATGTTTCAAAGAAAACTCAAATAAAAGATGCATAAAGGGCTTCGGCAAACCATTAGCACTTTTTTTTCCAATTAGCCCTGCTGGCATTTCTCAAGAAAACCACATTTCAATGGAATGATCACAGAGGTGGAAGAGGTTCAGAAAAAAGCAAGCCAGTGCTCAGAGTGTTGGAGGACCTTTCCCATGAAGAAAAGCCAAAGAGTTTAGGGCTCAATACTTTTCAAAACACAAGACAAAGGCAATAAAATAAAATAAGAACAGCATGGGAAAGAGATGTGGATAGAGAACATTGTCAACACAATGTTTAATTAACACACAAATTTAACTAGATGTGCAAGATGTGCTGATGAGTGGCAGCTTTCTAAAAAGGTCCAGCAAATTAATGAAGAACAAGCCTATCAATGACAGTTAAATAGAACCGCCATGTTCAGAAGCAGTTTTCGCCCAGGGTTATAGATGGCTAGGAATAAGCTACTGAGGATCCTTGACATGCTGCACTTGTGAGCACATCTAAGTGGCTGGTTGGAGTATTGCAACCTTAAATACTTTAAATATATATACATCCCTACTTAACTCTTCCTTCTTTCTGGTATGTTATGATATGTTCACTAATCAATAAAAATAGTCGCCCATCAGTAACAACACCAAACCAGGAAGTATTTCCAAATATTCCTTTCGAAGCTTCCACAT